CTGCAAGATTTGTGAATTCACAAACTCCCGAAAATACATCTTGCCAGGAGCCAATAGTTGCCTCGATCCAGAAATATTTCGGACAAATGAAATGCAGTGATTTATAAGACAATGCGTTGAATAGACATTTTAGGCTGAAGCTGCACCGGTTATAAAGAGGGCTGGGTAAAAAAAATCGATTTAATCAATTTTGAATTGATTCCTTTACATCTTTGCAAAATCGATGTCTAGGGAATGAGATCGATTAGTTTTATTGTGACGTGCGTGACGTTCGCATTCAAATGAGCCGGAAAGATGCACTCAAGATTACTTCAAGCCAGACAACTGCAAATATAGCCAATAGGTTGACTGAAGACATGGGGGCTGACCAGCAAACACCCGGTGGTTGTTACAGACAACGTTGCAAATATGGTTTGTGCAGTGAAGACAATGCAGCTCATGCATGTCCGCATGCATGTCCCCACTGTGTCACGTCTGCTTGCTCATGGTGAGGCTTCACTTTTTCACTTTTCACTAACAAGTTTGCTTTTATGAGACAGTTTTGTTCACATCTCAAGTTTAAACTGTCTGATTGTGTTTAATGTGACGGGAAAAAATTAAATACATAAGTATTTTGAAACACAGTTGAACCACTTTCATTATTGTAAAAACAGATCGAATCGAAATTAATCAATTTAGAACTGTATGAATCAAAATCGAATCGATTCAGGACTTTGGCGAAAATACCCAGCGCTAGTTATAACTAGAATACCTGCTATTCCTTTTTGAAAAACGGGCACACGGACGCAGTTTTTTCCTTTGTGGATGGGAAGATGTTTGCGTGTTCCCCCAAACTGGATTTGGTATTAATTTGATTTATCAGTTAACTTGGCTACATGTGATACAAATCAAGCTGCTACTGCTATTGGGATTGGCTAAAAACTTGACATGGGAGGAAGGTACCCAATCAGCTCAATGAACTGTGTTGAATGTCACACTGCTGAATATGATATAGTGCTGCTTGTTGTTTCTGCAAATCATGACACAGGTTACATCGCATGTACAGTGCTTTGGCTCTGCTCTGCTGTGGTGCAAACACCACAGTACAGTTGGACCCATTATGGTCAATGTGAGCATGTACACTGCTGCTGCAGGATAATGGTTTGACACCAAATATGACCCATTTCTATTTTTTCCAGACCCTGCAGTCAGATGCACAGGGATCAAACTGCACCTATAAAAAGTTAAACAGGCGCTACATCTGTGCTTTCCAAATAATTCCCCAAAGTCTAGATTTTCTTCAAGGCCTTGTCATCTTATGTGTTGACAATTAATGCACAGATTTGAAATCCTTTCTAAGTAATTATTACTGGTTATGCATAATACACATCAAATACACAATAAATAGACTATAATAGACAAAAGATATAGCCTCTGTAGTTGCAGTACTCAGCCATTACAGAACAAAAATAGTGAAAATGTCTGAATAGAAAAAAAAAAGGTAGGCTTTTTTAAACTGGTTTTTAGTCCCTGTTTTAATTGTTTTGGTCTAACTTCTGGATTCATCACTGCTTTTTATTATGTTAACCATGCATGCTTCTCAGAGAATCTTAAATGAATTGTGGTGGAGTGCAAAGCAAGGTGGCGTGAAGAGGCTAGCAGTATCAATCCAGGGTTATAATGTTTAGATTATCTCATAGGCCAAGGTTGGTTTAGGCAACTATTCACCTCAGTGAATGAAATCATCATTTGTAAACAGCTTTTTGAAGTTATTAACTTTATAAGCTTTGTGTGCTACAACCTTTTATTTAATTTAAAGCACTTAAGACTGACAAAAAAGGAATCTGTAGGCGGAAACACTTGTCAAGTTAATAATATCGGCTGTTATTAGGCCTTCACAGCATAAGTTCTTGATATTTTACATTTGTTTCAAAACAGAGTTATAGAATAAAGTAAAGTACATATGTCAATTATTTGTAAATTTTGTTCACTTGCTGATGTTTGTTTTGGAATTATAGCAAGAATTATCAACGACAAATTACAAGTAATCCAGAGTAGCTAAATGTGTTGGTTTCCCATTTTTGTTCTTCTTCTACTAATGAATGCTTTGCAGCTAAATGTTCTATTCCCAAAAAAAACAAGAATGAAATACTTAACAGATTGCATTGTCAGGATTTTCTAGTTCTGTATTTGATCTTCCTTTTAAAACAGAAAAAAAATCTAACCATTGCCCTCTTTTAGAAAAAGACTCCTGGACGTCTGTTTGAAAGTCTCCTCCTTCATGTTCTGTCAACTATATTCAATCAAAGCTAAAACAATCCCAAGTTATTCGTTTCCTGTAAGGAATAATCAATTTTAACAATGTTCTGGTTCTTTATTTTGTTTGAGCACTTAGGGGAAAAATACAACCACCAAAGAAAAATGGTTTTCATATTGGCTTCAACAAACTCTTTATGGAGTCTGAAAATGGCTTGATTTGAGTTTTTTTCCACACCTGTAGAAATCCCTGATTTCACTCCCTGTTCACCAGCTAATCTGTCAGTTCGACCATCCATTCCTAAACCTGTCCGTCCATCTGGCAGCCGCCTGTCCTCTCTCATGATATGCCTGTTTATCTGAAAGGATGGCTTTGAATTCAGTGTAAAATGGTCAGAAAACATTTTAAATGTAAAAATGCAGTTTTCTAAGTGGTTGAATGAAATTGACTATATATTTCTATTTTTTTATTTTTGAAATTTGTTGAGATTATGCTTATGTATAATCATAAAATTTTGCTTTATATCTTATTAGAATTAAATCTGTCCTTTCATCTAGCGAGCCTCTTCACACATCTTTGCAAACGATTCATAAAAAAAACATTCATACATATGCTTGGAAATTATCTACAAACTCTAGAAATCTAAAAAAAAATCTAAAATAAAACTGTGTTGGTAGCATGCTTTTTGGTTGCAGTTTGGAGGATTTTAAGATAACATGGCTTCAATAATAGTCAGAAAACTGAAATTGTAATTTTGAATGTGTAGCTGGAGGAAACCATAGTTCATTTCTTACCATTTGGGAAACTGTTTACTTTCTTTTTGATCAATCCCCACCTGTCTGATTTTTAAAATATTACCAGGGTGAGACAACACTCTCTCCCTGGGCTCACCCCTCATGGACCGTGTCTTAAACATTACCTTGTGTGCACAGCTGTCCATAGTCTGGCTCATTTATGCACTCATCCTTTTCACAACACTGTTGGTCATCGCACCCTGCATGTTTACTCACCAGGGCTAGTCCTAGGCCACTTATAACCATGGTAACAGCACACGGTGGTGATGAGCAAAGGGAAACTGTACTGTTTGACTGACAGAGCCAATGTTTTATGGATGATGGATTTCATATTTCCTTTTTATAAGAGGTGAACTGTAAAAGCGGGAGGAAATATCCATCAGACTTTATTCCAGCAGTAATACCAATTTGTCAGCCACCTGCTGGAAAAAAGAAATCAAATTTAGTCAAATGAGAAATGACTCATTTTGATGTAGCTTATTCCTAAGAACTTCTCTTACCTGGCAGCAGCGTGCATGCTGCTAGGAGTATATTTAACAAGGTTTGTCTGGTTTATAAACACTGAGAAAATGCAGAGGAGGGAAAGAACCTTTCATGTGGTCCTTGAATGTTATTCAGTGAAAACGAGAAAGAAATTATTTAGACCAGAGCCACCTTCTATTCCTCTCCTAGTTTATTGGTCTTAAAGGTCAGATCATCTGCCTAACATGTTAAGAGTTAAGGTCTGTTTTTTTATTCTCTCAATTGTTTCTTTTGACTTTTTAAAAATGTATTCTGGGGCTGATATTAGAAAGCTCTTCATTTAAAGATCCATTCTAAGCTCCTTCATATGAATCTGTGCTAAAGCAAAACACGGGACATGTTTGTGTTGTACTTTTTTTTTTTTCTGTTCTTTGTTTAATAAAGATTCCCATCAGTTTCATAAAATACATACTTTTTTATATTAGTTTGCAGTTTTTCTTGCAAACCAATATATTTTGTTCTAAAAACTATAACACCAGCTATAGCTGCAGTTGTTTGGAAATATGTTATTACATTTAGCCTCGTTTAAAGCGTTTACAAATAATAACTCAGAATGCATGAGAATTACGCTGGTAAAATGATTACCAATATAGACATGTTAGACATCGTTGGAAAGCTTCAATTCTCCACAATTCATCCACCTAGTTCATTTTATGGACATAGTGAGCACCAAAGCACAATTATAGCAGCATGTCAAAATGTAGCATGACAAAGAAACCTCAACAAGCAAGCATGTCTTTATTACTGGTGTTCAAAAAAGACTTATTATTTTCGAGAATAAAAAAAAACAACTTTCAATCTTGTTTGAACCGAAGCAGCTCGGATGTTTTACTCACCCAATTTTCATGTATATATTCAGGAACTAGAAGGTGTTAGCTTTCAAATAAAGTATCACACATGTAATTTGGGCTTACAGTTCCTCAGTTATTTGCTTTTCCATTTGGGTATGCAAAATAGGCGAATTTCCCAGAAATTAGATGGATATTAAGAGGTTAACAGATTTTTCCTTCAATTGCAGCTTTCTAGTAACCTGACTTCGGTATTCTTGTGTTGTTAACTTGTCTTTATTTTTTTTATGTGCCTATGAACATGTTTGCCATACTGTGCCATTTGTTTGCCCCCCAGGGACAAATACAGTTTTACTGCAATAAATGTGTTTTTTATTGATAGGAAAAATATTAGCAACTTGTAAACCCAGCTAGTCCTTCTTTAATTGTCATTAGGTAAATCAGTGAGGTCAGTCCCATCCAGCTGTCAGTCCACATCTGTGTGATGATAAAAGTTAAGAGTTGCATGCAATTTTACCTTCTTATTTAACTGAAAAAAAAAAAAAAAGAAAAAAAAAAACCCACCAAGGATGCTCCATCTGACTCTACATGCACTTTGAGTCTTAGAAATTGCTGGTTTTGACGGCAGCCTTCTCTTACACCATGATTTGTTTCTCACAGGTCTTCCCACCCCTTCCTAATGAGGCTGAGATCGCTCACACCAAAAAGCTCTTCCGACGTAGGAGGAACGACCGACGGTAGTGTTTACTCACCATGCATACGCCTGCAAACACACACATAGACCTGCAGCTCACAAAGTTCCACCTCAGATGGAGAAAATCTGGGATCAGAGCTTTAAGTGTGTCTCCACAGCCATTTATAACGTCTGAAAATGAAAGCAGGCTCCAGTCCAGTTTCTTTCACGACTGATTTAATAGTTCTATGTTGCAACCTTTAACCCGATCCAAAGGAGATTTTCTTTTATTGGTTATATATTCTGCAAAATCTAATTTACCCTAAGTCAAGTCTGACTTCACTGAAAATAGTAAAAGAAAGAAAAAATCCCTTTCACTCCCTGCCCTGAAGTCACTGGAAAACCGTTCTTTAGTTGCTAAGATACGTGCTAAAGAGAAAATATTTTGTTTGTATTTTGTGGCTTTCAAAAAGGAGGGAATTATATCTAAACCAAATGGACAGAGAACAGTTAAATTCCTGTTTTTAAGCCCAGGGAATAACTGTGTGTCTCCACTCAGCTGTAGTGTTTGCTGCACAGTGCTGGCCTGACCCAAAGAAAAGAACAAAAATATCAACATCGGCCAACAGCCGCTTGCTTGGGTTTCACTCTATTTGTTTTGGTTAGTGGAAGCTGTAACCAGAGACCATCCTGTTTTCTTCTGCTCACTGCTCAGCACACACGTCTTTGTACTTAAGACGTTTGTCAACTTTGAAATAAGATTATGCATCTGTGTTGTCTGTATCCCTGTTTTGAAGTTTGAACGTTTTATTTGTTATTATCATTAATACTAAAAGGCGGCCGTTTTTTGGGGGGGTTCCCCTGGTTATGATAGCTCAGGAAAATGGTGCATGAAAGCCCATTATGTGAAATGGAGGTAGACGGCCATACTGTCAAGAAAGTACATGCAAACTAATAACCCAGCTACTGCTTAATGTCAGAACGTGATGCTTCAACACATAACTTCTTTTCCTGATTAGGGGACCTTTTTAAACCCTCCAGTCAGTAGTAGCAACAAACAGTGTCTACAAAGGACGGATCTGCTCTGTCTAAACAATTAGGACATCCTACAGGGATACAGCAGGCCATTAATATTATATTCTATTTGTTATCCCTGCACAGGTTATCACATAACTGGATAGAGCAGAGTTTGATATCCCACATGTGGGTCTACTGTTTGTTTTCATTATGTAGCTCCACATTCTCTGGTTCTCGGTCCTTTATTAAAAGCTACCTCCTCAGGTAATGCCAAGTGTCTTTGTACCATCATATTGGCAGGCATTTGAAGGCAGTTATCAGACAGGGCTCTGCACCTTTGTGTTTCACCGCAAAAGAAAAGCAAAAATTATAAAACCAAAAATGATGTTAGTTCCAAAGCAAGAGACATATCTTGCATTTTTTCTAACTGGCAACAAAAACATGTTAAAAATTAGTTTAACCTCATTCCCGGGCAACTGATCTGTCATATGCCTCAGTAATTGCACTTCTATTTTAGTTTTTCCTTTTTTTTTGTAAGTTTAAATGAAAGAAAATTACCTGGAACAACTTGGCATATTAGCTCTACATAGAAGATTATTTATTGATTGATTTATTTGTTTATTTATTCATTTTTCTGAGTGAAAATAAAGGAATTTCCCACATTGACTCATATACCCTCATAGTTTTGAGAATTGTGAGAGTATCTGAATGGAGACCTCTGTCTACAGGATGATGTCTTTACTTTCTTCCTCCAAACCTTGAAGCCTGAAAAGAAACAACCGCCATCTTCTCTGTTTATGCTGAGGGAAGCCACCCCAAGACTTAAGGTTAAGAATTAAAGGACACAAGTGTGTACAGAAACAAGACATGAACATGAGAAAAGTTTCGTTTTTTTGTTTGTTAGTTTTTTTGTTTCCACAAGATATTTAGTCTTAAAAATGTCACTCACAATTCCCTAAAAATATTATGAACATTTTTGCAACCCTTTGGACAAAAAAAAAAACAGAATTGGGGGGTTTAATTACAGAAATATCTTATGATTATGACAAATGTGCACTAAATTGGCATTCAGGTGTAAAATGCATCAGAGTACTTCAAGCTTTTAATAGAAAAATTAAGCTTAACATGGATTTCCGAAGTTGCCTGACTAGGTTTACTTGTCTATTCAAGAGGCTTCAGCCATAATTTAAAGTTTGACAACAGTAGCTGGAGGGCAGTAAAGAGAAACCGCAAAAAATGCTGCACTTGGCTTTGATTTTGTGTTGTGTTGCTTGGTTTCCATCGACACCACAGGGACAAGAGAAGAAGTGGTTTAAACTAAACTTGGTGGAAAGACATGATGAAATATGGAAGCAGAGTATTGATCCGTTGACTACATGTTTGAAACATGAGGGATGCATTGAACAAATGACTAGCAAAGGGAGCAGACTGAGAGACGTAGTCAAGGAAAAAAAGTGTGGGCTGGCTGTGGCAGGATGGAAAAGAAAAAGAGGAGGCAGTGCATGTGTTTCTACTTTAGTAGGCGTGTCAGGCAGGGCTGAAATTAGTTGTGATTTACAGGAATGTGCTGGTTACTGCTCTTTTTCTTCTGTTGCTTTAGAAGGGAGAAGGGCAAAGAGTAAAAGAACGAGCAGCTTCCTCACCTTTTTATTCCTTTCTGATTTTCGCTGCCTTGTTAGAGATGACAAAAAGAAAATGATTTGTCTACGCCAGCTTTGCATTGTTTTCAATACGGATGGGATCCAACTTTAGGAGCAGTAGTTGGTTCTTCTTCATGCCAGTTATTTATTTAGCTGAATGTATGACTGCTAGCAGTTACTAGGACGGATGGATGTTAAATCAAGGTTAAGAATAGATTTCTGATCTAAACTCAAATTGGATTGCTCTTATTAAAAAAACATTTTTTTGGCAGTTTTCTGTTTATTAACTTTAGTTCATTACATAGTGGTGGATTGTTTTTCTGGTTCTGTAGTTTTGTTGCATCACTTTTGCGCTTCATTTAGGGCCTTTAAGGTTTGTCTACCAGCTATGCACATTGAATTTTTCACTTATTATTGAAAACTGAGTTGGTGTTGTTTTGCCATAGATTTCTGTTTTATGTTTGGGGTTGTTCTGTTTGAAGCTGTTCTAATGGAGCCTCTTAATAACTGAGGCAAGCCGTGTGTCCTAGACTTTAATTGTAAAAAGGTCAAAAATCTGATATTGTTTTACTTCCATTTAATAGTTATGCACAAATAAGAAATGTTGAAATTTGAGGTTGTGTTGTCAGAAAGTTTAAGTAATGTGAAATTGTATATATTAATTGAATAAATTATCACAGTAGGAGGATGAAATACACCTCATCCTTGGCTTAGCTGATATCTCTGATGACCCCATTTGTCTGGATGTTGTCTTTAAACCCCAAGTTCTTTAATTTAGAATTAAATTTATTCTTGATGTCTTAAATGTGATTTTGTTTTTTAACCTTTCTTTAAAGGAGAATTCCGGTTTTTAACACTTTTAGCCCATTTTCTGTAGTGTCCAGGATGAAATCGAATGATCGACACCAAAATTTTGACAATTGGTCCTGTCTCTGCTTTTTGGTTAATGCAGAATCCCCCCTGGCTGCTTCAGAATGGCTTCCATTGTGCACGTAAAGAAAAAACGTTCCTGTAGTGTTTTATTTAGCATTTTGTAAATCCCATTGAGTTCTGTTGGAATAGTCAATATCCCTCCGCCACCGGAAACGGAAATGGGGCCTGTTTACGCTTAGTTGTAGTCTTTTCGCAAGGCCCAAGTGTTTATGCTTCACTCTGTGTACTCCGACGTCGAGGTGCTAACGTCTCTGTTAAACACTTTAAAAAACTCTGAAAATGGAATACGAAAGGTGGATTCTTGAGGAGGACATATTGGACTTTGAGTTTGACGGTAGAGGATACCGTCGCCAACTAGTGGTCTGGAGTGTGCAACGCTTCAGATTCGAACGGGAAGCGGAAGTTTATAAGCGGTTGTGATGTATCGGAAAAAATAGTTCTGGGATTTACAAAATGCTAAATAAAACAAGACAGGAACGGTTTTTCTTCACGAAACTTTTTTTGGAACGTCATTGAACAGCGCTGACGACCCGGTGAGTAGCATATTTTAAACAAAGAACGTTTAAGGTTGTTTTAAGGACATTATCGGACATGCACAATGGAAGCCATTCTGAAGCAGCCAGGGGGGGGATTCTGCATGAGCCAAAGAGCAGAGACAGGACCAATTGTCAAAACTTTGGTGTCGATCATTCGATTTCATCCTGGACACTACAGAAAATGGGCTAAAAGTGTTAAAAACCGGAATTCTCCTTTAAATATTAAATGAAATGTACCTGTATAAGAGCTTTACCAGTCGCCACAGCAAAGCGCTTTACACTACCTTCATTCATGTTTACGCACTGATGTTGGTATGCTACATTGTAGCCTCAGCTGCCCTGGGGCTCACTGACAGAAGCAATATTTTGGATCCTGTTCTGCTCCACACTACTTCAATACATGTAATCTGTCTCACTATGGCTTAGTTCATCAACACTTTCAAACTTTTGTACAAATTATCGTTCCCTCTTTGTTTTCCAAGCTCATCCAATCAAAGATCAGCTTTTCTGAGCTTCATTTCTGTCAGTAATTTTTCAAAGATATTATGTGTGATCAATATAATTTCTGCTTGCATGCATGCACCCACATCAATGTTTCCTTCAAAAATCTTAGAATTTAATAATGCAAATGTTCAATCAGGCAGCTGAAACCTCTCTCCCTACAGTGCATTAAGTCTGTGCTGTGTGGCCTGTGTAGAGCCTCGGCCAAGTTATTGACTGTCTGTCTGGCCTGCAGACATCTCTTCCCCAAGGTCAATCGATTCTCTTGTCTGGGTCAACCAGTGGTTCTATGAATCCTCCTCTTGAACACAGTAAAAGTCATGATTGATAATTTTTAATCATACCCCCCCATGACCACGTCTCTAAGTTCATTTCATCCTTTACATAGCATTCCTGTAGACTCACTGTTTTGTGTGACCTTACCAACCTCTAGTTTTTTTTGTTTCCTTTTTTGCTTTGCTTTTTGCCCTCCTTTGCTCTCTGGTTTTCTCCTATTTACCTCCCATGTAAATTCTCCCGTTACCTTAAAATTTCACTTTTTCTTCACTCCACTTCTGATTTTTTTCATCCTTCCAATCATCTGCATTTCGGCATACCCCTCTTTCCTGCTTGTAGAACATTTGATCACTTCACCCGAGAGCAGTTAACTGTACTCCTGCCTACCGGTCCAGGGGAGAAACGACAAGTCTCAGCCAGGTTAGTGACAACTTAAGTAAGACCACGAAAGGTAATGTAACTTTTGGAAATACTTAAACCTCTTAGTGTTTTTTGCAGCTTTTTTGTGTTGATCTTAGTGATTTGCCAGAGAACTTTAGCTACCTAAACAGTAGGGATGGAACGGTTTATGAAAAGCGTCTGAACCGTTCGGTTCGACTGTCTCGGTTCGGTTCGCGTGTGTTGCGTTCGTTTCATGCTTGGCTCTATTTTCTCATAGGCGAAGCATGTACACTCCAGAGCAGAAGGTGGTGGTACTGCGACCAAAGCCGTGTAGCTGGGTGTAGCAGAAAAAAAATCAGTTGTTGTGGAGAATTGTGTGGGTATGGCGAGTGGGAAAGAACAGGAGTTGGAAGAGGCGCCAGCAGCACTTTATAGGTCTACTGTTTGGGACCACTTTGTATTTAGAGTGACCTACGATGACGGTGGAAAGAAAGTTGTGGATAAAAGTGCAACAGTGTGCAAGCATTGTGCAACACGTTTTGTTTATGCTAACAGCAACACGACCAACATGCCAGGCTTACAATCAACATATACCGAACCAAACCGTGGATTTTGTGAACCGTTCCACCCCTACTAAACAGCATCATGAAGAGGGACTTACCAGGCCAGAAAAAAAATAGCAAAAAAGAGAGTATCTAGATGTCCAAAGCTAAGAATTTGTGAAAAGACTTGAACACTTTTCAAGGACATGAATAGCAACTAAAGACATTCTGCAAATGGCTATTCACAAGAAAATATGGCTGTGAACAACTGACTTGGGGATCTGAAAGCAAAGCCACTCCACACTTTTCAGATTTATTTATTTTTTTGTAAAGACCTTGACAGCCAAGTTTTATGTTCGTTCTTCCACCCAATAATGCTCTTATTTATCAGTTTTAAATACTGTTATGGCAGTTGTTTGTAAAGCATGTGGCTTATGTCTATCAAATGGAAGAAGTACCGGTAGGTCAGAATCCGGCAATATAAAAAAATAATAAAGGCCTGAGAAATACCATTCAAATGATCAATTGAAAATGGTAAATTATTTTTATTTGATTAGATGTATAGTCACATATGAATAACGTATTGTGGGATGAAATTCCATCAGTGGCTCCATCATTTATGCTAAATGCAGTCATCTCTCAGACAGTAATGGCTGATAGATGATCAGCACTCAAACCACAGTTGAGGTCACAGTCATGAAACATGATTAACTTTTTATTGTGCCTGCTCTAACCCCTCTCACATTATCAGTAGATAAGGAGGGTGGTTTATTACATCTGAGCCTAAATTAACAGCAACTGGCATGATCCTGTGAATTTATCAGAGCTGTCATAGTCAGTAGTTCTAGGAGTGTCCTTTGCAAAGTATTTGCTATCACTTATGGTTTCTGCGGAAACATCAAAAGGTCTCTCTGTAAACCTTTTGAATCAAATAGGAAGACTGTTTGTTTGCAGGAATGGCAACTCAAGTTTGATATTGTATCTCAAGAAAACAAAAATATTCAGACTCCACTTAGAATTGTGCGCTGTAGAATTAATACTCGACTTGAAAACGGTTGTTTTCTTGTAATTTACTGAGTGGAATGAAGCAGGTATGGGAGCTACAGACTGCAGCTGCCAAGCAGGCTTTAGTATAAAGGGGTGAGCCTGATTATTGACCAGTGGTGATGCAGTTTATGGGCTCATGGCAATCTCGTTATGTTAGCTGTAGATGATTAATTATAAACAGAAATGTCTTTTAAATTGAAAGAGGTGATAAATGACTTTGGACCATTTAAGAACATTGTGAGCATAACTGGCCTCCAACATTCTCTCTGCAAAGGTAGAAGGACACAGCCAGATGATAATATTAAAGATAAAAGTAACTTTTGATCCACTTATCTAGAGTTTATAGAAATAAAAGCATTTCCTGTTACAGTTATTTAGACACTAAACACTCCTCTTATTTACTTACTACCGTTAATGTCATTTCTTGTGTTGTCATTTATACATTTAATCTAATGATCATTATTATATAATAGATTTTAAATGAGGATTTAATTTTTTTTTATTTACATCAGAATTTTTTTTGTCTGCTTGAATCTAAGAGATGTAACAGAAACAAAGCAATTTCCCAGCTCTTATCGGCAACACCTGAGTTACGTCCCATAACACTTCAACCTACTACGCCTATTGGTGCCGAACTGTTTTAATGTTGATTACCAAAAATAAATATTAAAATTTTTTTGACCCCTGAAATATATAAAATTATTATTTTTATCCCTTTTAAATGCTTTTATTATGTATCACAGTAATACATCTTGTGGACGTATTCTTTTTGAAAAAAAGAATAATTGTGTTAATAAGGTTTTAGCCATGACCTTTAACTCACACTGTGGATGTGGAAAAAAGGAAAATCTGAAAAGCTTTTTATGGTTTCTATTTACCAGTTACACACTGAAGTGGTAAGATTTTATTAAACATGAAAACGCTTGGAAAACGATGACTAAAAAACAGATTTAGCAACAAAATAAGATAGATTTCTTTTTTTTTTTTGAGAAAGCATGTTTAAGCATTACCGTATTTTCACGACCATAAGGCGCACCGTACTAAAAGGCGCAGTCTCAGTTATGTGTCCCATTTCTGTATTTAACACACACATAAGGCGCACCGGACTATAGGGCGCGTTTTTTATATACAGGTACATGTCCTCTACTACCTTTAAATACCTCTACTGCGTATTTAAAAATACAGCGGGGCAAAACTGAGTATGACTGTGCTTTATTCATGTATTTATTACAAAGTATTAATCAAACCTGGCAGCTGGCCGTGAGACAGACACATCGCAGATGACACAGCACTGTGATCACTCCTAAATTAACTTAAAATCCTGAAACCTGCCGACGGAATATGTTCGCTTTTATGGGTGCCTGCAGTTTAAATTATTTAGATGAAAAACACCTGCCAGCCACTGCATGAACCCGGAGGCGAACAGGCCCAGAGGCTGCTGATGAAAGGATTTCTCCTGTCAGCGCACCGCTGGTATGTGGGGGTCTGAGCGCCTCCGACAGAAATAGATAATCTGGATGAAGTGACTGCAATTATTAAGTTTTCAGGTGGACTTTCTCACTTAAAAACATAATAAAACTACTTAATTCCCACTGATCACAGCAAATATAGCTGCAAGATTTAGATTATTTAGATGAAAAAACACCTGCCAGCCACCGCGGTGAAGAGGAGGAGACCCGCCCAGAGGCTGCTGTTGAATTAAGTTTTCAGGTAGAAAAATAGAGCGGGAGCAAAACTGAGTATGATTGTGCTTCAGGGGCGTGCATACATAGACACTAGGTGGTGCTAAAGCACTAGGAAGTTTGCCCTTTTTCAAAGAAAATGCCCTTTTGAAACTCGTTTTTTTTAATTATTATTATTATTAATATATTAAGATTTTACTGAGGTCGGTTTTGAAATGATCTTTTGAAAACCTGAGCCATTAAAAACGACTGAAACAATGCCCCGAAATGAGCCACCAGCTGACCAGCCTACTGTATCTCTCTTCCTTTGTCACGTGACCTCGCTCGGTCGCCCGCAGGGCATGCCAGATGCGCAGCATCATAGCAGTTCAGTAGCATCTTCAGATAGCAGGAACGGTCGCTGACAGGCTGCTTCTCTCGGGCCCCATTAGCCAGGTAATATACAGATCAAGCAGAATCATTTTGTTGTGCATTAAAATGTCTCATTCAGCAGCACCAAACACGCATTTTGGCCGACTGGTCACCTGATAAACTAGTTGTCTCCTTGTAAGATGCTATTTTACTTTTTATATTTTATAACCATATTTTTATCTTAAGTGTATATATTAGTCTATTTTATTGCATGCTGTATACCCACAGTTTTTAGATATGTTTATAATTTTATTTACCTATTCCATATTATATGTTTCATGTTGCACGATTGTACCATCAAAAATTCCTAGTTTGTGAACTCCTTCACTAACAATGGCAATAAACCTGATTCTGAAAGTTTTACACTGTGGCCCAAGTCAATGACAGATAACGTGAGGACGACCACATAGGCTACAAATAATTTCGGTAGAGTTTGCAAAATGCAAATCTACAGAAGAGGATTAGGGCTACTGAAAAAAAAAAATAAGTTAACTGATTTTTAAATTTTATTTCAGTTTAGTATGGGAAAAAAGTCAGAATTCTGACTTTAATCTCACAATTCTGACTTTAATCTCAGAATTCTTAATTTTTTTCCCCTCAGAATTCTGACTTTTTTTCTCAGAATTCTGACTTTAATCATAGAATTCTGACTGAATTCTGAGAAAAAAGTCAGAATTCTGACTTTTTAACCCTAACCCTTTAAATAAAATTTAAAAATCAGTCATTTTTTTTTTCTTTCCAGTGGCCCTAATCCTTCCATACAAATCTATGTGTTAAGACAAACGTTTTCTGTTGTATAGGTTTTGTTAGGCAACATAAATTAACACATTTTGGTCTCTTTATTGTCTTAATTGTATATTGATTTAGTAATTGCAGCACAATGCCAAGAAAGGAGGGTTAATCGTATTGAAAAATCTTAAAAGCTGTTCACATTTTATTTTTATTTATTTTTAAGTGGTTTGTACAAAATCAGCAGGTATTAAAATAGCTATTATTTTGTAGGCTACCATAAGTCATATCCACGTGACAAGACTTCCAGTCATGTTGCCCTGATAGCCCATTATTTAAACTAATGTGGCATATTTGTTAAAGCTATTATTATTATTATTATTGTCATGATGGTTATTATTATTATATTGTAGCCAGTCACAGCAGGGAAGCTCTATACCAGACATGGGCATACTACGGCCCCCGGGCCATATACGGCCCGTTAGGCTTTTTAATCCGGCCCGCCGAACTTGTCCAAATTACCCTATTTTCACGACTGTAAGGCGCACATAAACGTCTTTTTTTTTCTTTTTCTTTTTTCCTCAAAATGTGCGGTGCGCCCTATGTGTGTTGTAACCGCGACTTTTGA